GTCACGTGGTGGGGCTACAAAGAGAGTGGGTGGGTGGTCAACTGCCTGAGAGCCAGCTGGCCCACGGGAGGAAGGCGGTTGATTGTTAGGAGGCAGTTGTGTGAGGGCAAGGGTAGGGTGACACGTAGCCGTTGATGGTGGGAGGGAAATGGTGTTAATGTGAAGGTTTGAAGTGAGGTAAGCAGGAGAAGGGTGGTCCACCTGAGTAGGGTTAGATGTTTCCCTTGGGGCCACAAGATTGGGATGGTCGCGATGCGGCAAAGGCTTGCGACCTCATGAGACCACAGTCCATTGGTTGTGGTCCATAGTTGCGCCTGTGCTGTGGTCTACCCGGTGAAGGTGGTGGGGCGAAGGAGGTGATGCCACCCTCGACCTCCATCTAGAGTGAGGAAGGGATGGAAGAAGGGTCGAGAACTTCGATAAGTACCTGGATAGTTTTGGAAGGAAGTCCCATACTAGAGGGAAATTAGAAGGACTTCAAGCATGGTGGGGAAAACCTCTTTAAGCCACAAACTGAGTTTTTGGGGAATCTCCCTACCAAAAGATGATGAGCGGCTCGGCTCTAACCTTTGGGGAGACTCTCCCAAACCAAAGCTAGATTTGTAGAATCACTCCCTCGGAAAAAAGAGGTGAAGAACCTTTCCTCTAATGGTGGTTGTCACCGCAATTGAAAACCCGATTTTTATTACTCGATTTGATTTGGCCATAGGGATTCATGGGTTTCACTTTGTTCGACTTAATTTAGGACTAAGAATCTCTACTTTCCTAAACTTCTTGAGCTTCTAGATTCTTTCAAATCAGGCAGCTACTTCCTTCACAGTTTTAGGAGACTGGACCCTAACAAAACATGAAAATAACCTCGCTAGAGTTGCAGAAAATTATGAAACTAACTTGCAAAATAAGGAAAGAAATAGTTTTCTTTTGCTTTTTTTGACTTAGTAATAATTGGAGCCCACAATCTTCTAGAAGATTGGTCTTTCAAGAAGATTGCTGTTGTTCCCTACCCTAGGGTTTCTAGGACTCAAAAATGGAAGAAAGAAATCTAACAGACTAACAAAAATGGAAGAAAGAAATCTGACAGACTAAGGAACATAAAATTTTCACTGATTTTCCTAGCAGGCTTTCAACCAGGATTTGAAGCTCAAAACGCTATTGACGAAGATTGGTCTTTCTAGAAGATTGCCGTTGTTCCCTACCCTAGGGTTTCTAGGACTCAAAAATGGAAGAAAGAAATCTAACAGACTAACAAAAATGGAAGAAAGAAATCTAACAGACTAAGGAACATAAAATTTCTCACTGATTTTCCTAGCAGTCTTTCAACCAGGATTTGAAGCTCAAAACGCTATTGACAAAAATCCCTTGGAGATAAGAGCCTTATTTCTAAGTGATCTTCGATAGGTGCTTTGGATCACCCAAACTGACATCTCGGTGGAAAGTTATTCCTTCAAGAAGCGGTCTAAATCATCTTCTGGTTGGCTTGATATTGTTGTCTGACATTCTTTGTTGGGGGTTCTTTCTTTTCAAGGTTGGTACACTCAATGTTACTTGGTGCTCCATATGTGAATCTGTGACTTTGGCTCTTTGCTGGCCTTCTGGATGAGAACTTTATTTTTTTCCAGCAGGTCCTTTTGCCACCCTTAGGTTAGTTAACAAGGACATTCGAATATGGAATTTTGGGTCATAGCTCCTGAACATTGACTTTCAGCCTTATTGTTATCCTTTTCCTTCTGTTTGTCTCCCTTCGTCGCCAATTCCTCTTGTTTTCTGTTTCTCTTCTCCCCATAGCATCACCCCTTATCTCTCTACCTTTCTTGTGTACATCTCTTGTTTCGCGTGTTTCCAGTGCACAACTTTTCTGGTTTCTTCTCTGGAATCTATGATGGGTTATCAGAAAATGGGGGATATCAACTCGAATAAGTTGGAATGGATCATCATTCCTTCTTTGATCATAACTAGAAAAGCCACATTTTTCCTCTCAATTTGGGAAATTCCTTTGTTCTCAGGGGATATATACATTACTAAGTCTAAAGGCTTTCTTTTACCTGCATGATTCCCTTTGCATTTAAGAGCCACATAAGGCTCTATTTGATTTGAATTAGGCACCTTAAGCATGTTATGATTTATTCAGTCTATGTCCTGAATTCTATGGCTGTTTTTATTCTTCTCGTTTCTTCATGTTGCCTTTGTTGTTGGATGAAAATTATATGGTTTGTATTGGGAATGATTTGGAGGGGATTCAGCACATTATTCCTCTCCTTGTTCTCTGATTATAGTTCATGAGAAAACCTTTAGGACAAAAGGTTTGGGATGATTAATTATCATGAAAAGTTCTGGGTCTTTGAATTATTGATGGTTAATGGAATATTTAAGATTAATATACAACAATCATTCCACTCATTTGATGGGTGGAATATTTGAGACCAATATAAAGCAATCATCCCATGCATTTGATGGGAATTGTTGTGCTCCATATATAGGTGATTGATTATAGGCAACGATCATCACCATGAGACTTTTATGCGCTTTAATATGGTAAAAAGAGTTTATCTTAGCTTGGCGCCACTCCAAAGCCCTAGAACTCTATAATCTGGTCTTGATTCTCCACATGATTTTCAAGGTTTATTTCTATTGTCAATGATCTCATTCCATGAGGGAAAAAAAGGAAAAAAAGACAATTTCGCATTCCAGTTGGACGTCTCTATGGGCTTCCAATATAAAAGCTACTGGATGTGGGTAACTTTGCCAACAAATCTGGTTTTTCTTGGTGATATGTCATCCAATAGTAGGGGTTAATGTAAAGTACCATGATCATTAATGAAAATATTGTTGATAAAAATATTAAGGAATTTATGCACTCCTCCATGTTCTTTATTTGAAGAATTTGTGGAATACCTAATTTGGGTTCACATAACCAGCTTGTTTCTTGCTTTTGGTTGAACAACTGCTCCTTGGTTTTGTTCCACTTGAATTTAGCAGCTCCCCTTATTATTCAATTTGCCTGGAACAGACGGATTTGAGTATGATGTTTTTCTTAAGTTTCTTCTGAAGTAGCTGTAGCTGTAGGAAAGTTTGCAAGGTGAAATTATACATCAAAACCCGTAGTGGTAGTTGGTATGCTAATTTGCTTCACTATATTGGATTTTTCTGCTGTTTTCGCCAGAGGGCATGATCCTGTAATTTCTTCTGAGTCTGAAAGCTATGAGAGTATGATTGAAATATCTTTAGTCTATTTGGGAATTTTATGTCTGGGGAGCATGCATTTGGTTTTCTGGGAGCTCATTTAGTGGATAGATTACAAATATCGGGTACCATTAAACATAGTGGCTGTCCAGTATGCCTTATAAATTACTGGTGTGGTTGGATTGGGCAATCGACTGGCTCTCAACCTGTTTAAAGTTGATTGTTGATTGTTGATTGTTTACTCTTCCCAGTTGTATGTATTTGATATGAAATATTATTCGGTTTAAGAATGAAATCAGTTTAAAAGAAATTACAACTATGTATGATTGATCTTAATCATAGTTTTGTTTCCTTACAATCCACTTTCTCCTTCACTCATGGCATGAAGCCATATCAGATGAATGCTTGGCATTTTCAGTTAGGAAGACTATATATGAATGTACAAAGGAGTGGTATAGTTCACACATTTAGTTGGAACAATTGAAGGAGAGAGCATGAAGTGTCCATTGCAATCTAAGGTGTTGATGAAATTTTGATCTGAATCCTCTCATTATATCCATCCTTTGCACCATGTCTTCATGTATGGATTTTGAACTTTCACACATTACATTTCTGGCCCTGTAGCGTTCAAATAGCAAAATCCTGCAGCATTTCAACAAGGATATCTTTTCTAAACTCTTTCTTGTATTTTTTTTGTTTTGAATGTCACTAAATGCGCAATTATTTAGGTTAGTCAAGATTCACAAGTACCTGCAAAAATGTGCAATCACAGGAGGATCTCACCCCCGGTTCCTTTGCTGGTATAGCCATTTTTTTACAAAACCCAAGTACTCTGGAGCAAACTGAAAATACTTGGCAAATTTCAAGGGCTAGTGGAGTTCCTGTCTTATATGCTTCCCTGCCAATGATGCACAGAGGGAATTCAAGATGTCATATTTGGCTTGTGATTATGGTCATAATCTTATATTTAGAAGTCAACAAGAGAGTCAAAATCCAAGTTGGCCTACCATCTCCTTTTTCACTTCTCTATTACCCCAGAATCGCCCTGAGATATTGGTATTGATTAACCTTGTTATGTTTAGCAGCTCATCAATTTCATAATTGTTCAAGTTTCCAGCTTGTGCATTCACTAGCAAAGAGTTTCTGCAACTAAGAGTTTCCGTGCCACATCTTTTGAAATCTAAATTGCAATATTCACAGCAAAATTTATTCATAGCAAATTTATTACCTCTATTGAAATGTTCCATTTCCCTTTGCGATTCCTTCTATGCCCTTGAGCATTTGCTGTTTCTTCCCTCTTCTTCCCATATCTGGGATCTTTTCTCGATATATTTACTTCTAATGATTTCTCTCCTCAGGTATTTTTGTTACCTTGCTCATGTACCTGGAACTAGATTTCTATTTGCGAGTGTTGCTTCTGATAAATGAGGGAAGATGCATTTGCCAGGCAGCAAGCAAATCGGTGGTCTTACCAAATGCATCCCTTATTGGAGATGTAATGGAGTTTTCTTTTCATCTGCTTCATGCTCTCTCTCTCTCTCTCTCTCTCACACACACACACACACACACACACACATTATAACGCAAACCCCACAACTTGAGGCACATGCATGGCTAGGAAGTTTCAACCAGTGTCTGATTTCATGTTTGGAATATGTTGTTGAAATGTTGTAATTTTGGTGCTCACTTTAGTGCTGATTATGTGGGAACATCGTCTTCCATTTCCAGTTCTGTAATTTTTTGTCTGGTCAAATCATATTTATGTTGGCAAAATCAACCTTGCATTGGTGCATTCTCTTGTTTAATGAGAACTCCTTCAGACTGTAGGAAGCAAGTGCTTTGCAAAGTGCGTCACAAAGCCTGGTTCAAGCCTAAGCGGGAGCGAAAGCAGTTGCATTTCTAGATGTGTGGACCGCTACATTGAAGCCACTGGTATTGTCAGCCGTGCCCTTCTGGGTGGCTCTCACTGAACACACTCTCGTATCATGGATTTTGAAAGTCATGAAGATTTTTGGCATGAATAGCTGAGAGGAAATGTGATAGGCGTTGTTTTTGCATGTAACTCTTTTATTCTTTTCCTTTTATTGGGTGGCTATGCAAGAGTCACACCCCCATATTGCAAATTTCTCGGGAGACAAGTTTGTTTGCAAAAGGCACTCCCATAATGAAAATTACTTGAGGGAGCATCATGCTTTTTGTTCTCGAATTATACCACCTTCCCCAACTTAATTGAACATTCTTATTCGTGGACCATCTATCTTGTGCTTTGCTGATTCCAAATGCATTCTCTCTCCCTCTCTCTCTCTCAGTATTGGAACACTGAATGTTTGGATGCGAAGCTGATTAAATGGCCGTTTGCAGAATTACAGCTCCACTTTTCATCTGACATTTTCTTCTTTCCTGCGTCTAACTTTGGACTCTGAGACAACCTCTCAGTGTGCGTGTGTCTGTCAAAAAACACCCAATTGGACCTGCCGGGATTGTCACTGCTGATGCCTTGGGAACCGGTAGTATTGATGGGACAATTAACTTGAGGACCGGCATGTGGACAACACTGGTGACCTGGAACCAGTGGATGGCACAACTGACCTGGGACCAACATTGTCATCGGAAGCTTTGTCAACGACACCACCAATGTCTTGGGCCGGGGGCCAATCAGTGCCAAATTTCGAGTTATTTTTCTATTATTTTTAAATTTCTTAGCAAAGGGGTTTCGTGGGATTGTTTTGTACGTCAGGATCCCTTGTTGAGGGATCCACGTCCCTTCATGAATTTGGCAGCATGTTGCCTCCTACTCGGCCTGTGGCCTTATGAAATTGGGTTTATGATGAGAGCCAACAGGGGGTATGGAGAGGGAGAGTATACACTGGAGGGGGGTCGGCAATAGGGAAGGGTAATGTGGGTCTGGAGGTCAAAAGGAAGCAAGTGGGGCCCCCGCCTTTTACGGCCATTGGTGCACTGGTGTGCCGGCGGTCGTTGGAGATATCAAAATTGTCTAAAAAAATTTTCTATAGGAAAATTATCTAAATTTCTAAAAAATACCAAAATTTATTTTTATGTTTATTTTACTATTTTAAATTGATCTAGAGCCCTATAAAAATATGTATATTTAGAGAGAAATTAGAATCCTAGAGGAACTAAAACTTGAACGGTTGGGCATTCCATTCTCTGCTCGTCCTAGAACCTTGTGTTATTTTCTTAAATTAACTGAACAAAGCCCATAACCCATTGTCTTAGCAGGTGCTCTTTCTTAACTCATCAAATCAACCCACTAGATGTATACGTTCCGAAGGTGTAGTGGATTATAGGTGGAACCCAAGGATATGCATTATTGTAGATGCGAGGCTTCTATCTCTAGCATGAGTACATAGATAATCCTTGTACCTATATATATCTAAAAGTAATGAAAACTCTCCTATTAAAATTCCAAGCTCCCAAAAAAAAATGAATTTCTAAACGTGGCAACACGCAATATTCATATTCCTAAAAAATGGGCACTCTAGATGATTCTCCCCATTTTAGTCATAGTTACCAAGTCTCCGTTTAAAAGACGATTTTTTTTGCAGTGATCAATTGTTTTAATCTTAGTTAGCAAGCCTCCGTTTAAAACACGATTTATTTTTAAAAAATTCTGATTTTTTGAAATCCATTAAGAATTTCAATTTTTTAAAAAGATCTTCAAAAAGTCATTTTTTTTTAATGGAATTGATATAAATTCTTATTTTATCTTTTTCCAAAAAAACTTTTTCCCAACTTTATTTCTTCATTAACTTAATATTATTGAATTTTGAATTTTGGTTTAGAGATAAGTACATTAACAATGCAAGTAATTAAGAATCTTGATTTAACAAAAACATCCATAAAAAATTTCACCAAAGAGTTCCCTTAAAAAAAGTTTATGTAAAAATACAAGCAATATATTTCCCCCCGAAAATAAGAAGAAGAAAACAATCGTATATCTCAAAATAATAGGTAGAATTAGAAGACGATTAAATCCATTTTTGTCTTTAAATCCATAGCGTCCTTATAAAGAGAAAGAGATAGAGATTCAATAATACAAAATATTTCAGTATGAGATTGTCAAAAAATAAAAATACGAAAGATTTAAGTAGCTGGGAATTTAGTGCATATTTCAAATTTGCTTAAGCGTTTTGTTGCTTTTTTATGCGTAGAGAAGTTTGATTAATTTCATATATTATTTTTTGTCTTTGTTTCATTGGTGTGTATAACATAGCATTTTGGATGAACCACTAATTTACATATTTGGGCTTTTGCGTTTTTTTTAATTAACTCCAATCCTATATTGAGGGCATTTTTTATTGTTTTTATTTTAAAAAAATCATCTACATTGGTTTACAGTTCTTGTTATTTACTATTTAGTTCTAACGTTAAGTATTGTTGTTGTTGTTTCAGTTTATGCTCTCAATAAATCTATACTATGTTTTGTGTTGTGACAACATAATAAGCATCATTGTTGGATTTATTGGAAGTTTCAACAAAAAAATTTCAAGTATTACTTTAATAACACTAGTAAGGGTATAAAATTATTGGTTAATGCTTTAATATAATAATTTTATTGTGTCACATCTTTGAATATCTGATTTTTTCACTTTGTTTTTTGAACCAAATCCGAAATTTTTACGATTCTACAACTTACCTTATTTTTTGGCAATTCGTATTTTTAATCCCATTTTTACCTCCTTTTTGAAATAAAACTGATTTATTACTGATATTTTAGTCTGCCGATATTTTATTATTCCTTGACTTGCTAACTATAGTTTTAATGTTTTCAATAAGAAAAGTAAAAAAAGAAAAAGACAATTTTCTATCTTTAAATTAGGAAAAAGAAAAACTCAAATATTATATATATATCTCCTACAATAACTATATTGCAATAAAATACTCGTAGACAAAATCCCCTTATTTCTAGGGCACTTGCCTTCTCTTTTTATTCTTTCAATATTGTCCAGCCCTCAACTGCAGCTTTCTATATATGGCAATAATTTATATAAAATTGACACGTTAAAATTTATAATTAAGGTACTCTTCTAAAATCCTTCGAGAAATGTCATTTTGATGTTAGAAAAATATCTATTTGATAATCTCAACATCAAGATATATAGTTATGAAGAAAAATTTCAAGTCTTACAAATAGTACACCTTACAATATATTATCTAAACCATTTATTTTCAATATTTTTATGCATTTATAGATCTGCTCGATTTGAACTATTTTTAAAGTTTAAAATTTATAGTTAAATATAAACATAGATTCTCACCCCACCTTAAGAATTTTTGACACCAAAATTGCATCTCGTAACAAAATTTGAAGGTACACATTGATTTAATTTTTTAAGATTGCAACCTATGCAGACTCATCACCATCATCATCATAGCGTTTTCCCAATTAATTGGCCTGCTACACAAATCTTGATCTGCCATTCTGCTCTTTTAAAAGCCACACCCTCAATGAGATCATAAGTCTCCATATCTTTCCGAACTACTTCCAACCACGTCCTTTTGGGTCTCTCCCTTGCCCTTTTAAATTTTTCCATTTGAACTAAATTACTCCTCCTAACAGGTGTTGTACTTGGTTGGCGCTACACAGCCAGCGCACCTAGGTCTACTATGTCTCGTCTTATCGCATATTGGTGCCACACCTAAATTCTCCCGAATGAGTTCATTTTGAATTCTATCCCTTATTGTCTTGCCACTTATCCATCTAAACATCCCTAGCTCCACTACACTCATTTTATGGGTATATTGTTTTTTGTTCGCCCAATATTCAGCTCCATAGGGTAAAGCAGATCTCACAACTGTTCTATAGAACTTGCCCTTCAATTTCATTAATATGCAGAGATCATATAAAATTCTAATTGCACATCTCTACTTCGCCCCTCAGCACTAATTTTGTGCGCGATATCTTCATCAATCTCTCTATTTTCCAAGATTATCGACCCAAGATTTCGAAAGTGCGGTATAGGTTCAAGATTCATGATAAGTTTTATCAAAATTTTATGCTGGCTGCTTACCTAACACAACCCAGCCTCTTTACCTGGGCATAGAACGGGTTAAGGGAAAGTTTCAGGTCATCACCTTTCTTAGACCAAACCAATGTAGACTACACCCTTATAATATATTCTATGGAGACTACACCCTTATATTATATTAAAGGAGGGACCTTCGCTGGTAGTACCAATAGAGATGTGGACCACTCTACCCAAGGGTTCATGTAACGGTTCTTGGGAGAATCAACTATCGATGGAGGGTAGGGTCCCTTGGGAAGTTTACTTGCTCACTCTACTAGTACAAGTCAGGTAAGAGAGTACGATGACGCAACCCAATTGTTCTGATCAGACCCATTGATGCATCGAGGTGCTAATATTGAAAAATAGGGTAGAACATATAATTTGAACAATCACCCCCCATCATTTCTTCAAAAGCTTTTGACTCAGGATAAGAACCAACTCTATAAACAGGAAGGTAGATCGGATCATATAGATCCTACCGAAAAAGGCTCTCTTAATTATAGTTCTTCGATTAGATGATGCCTTAAAATATCTATGCAAACTACACCTTACTAATATAAGATAGACATGTGAGTTTGGTAGAGGTGAGTCTTCTTTTCAAGCCTCTAATGTGGTAGCTGGTTCTTTCTCCCCCTTCTAATGATCTATTTGGTTTGGGAGATTGGACTAAGCAGGTTTGGAATCTGAACTATGAACATTATGTTAAAAATATTGGGAATGATAGTGTTGTCTTCATCCTCATATCTGATTGCGAAGTTCATAGGGCTCTTAGTATTAGAATAAAGAGAATTAGGGGAAAATTGTTGAGTTTAGACTTTTGGAAGAAGAGTTTCCATGCTTTCTTTTTCTTAAAGAGTGCTATTTGGATTAGAATGAGCGGTATTCCTCTTCATGCTGGGAACATTGATATTTTTCATAGTTTAGGGAATATCTATGGTGTGTTTGTGGGTGTGGATTGGGATTGTGCTAGAGCTGAGGATTTATCCTTTGTTTCGATAAAAGTTATGCGTAATAGGATGTATGCTTTGCCCAAGAAAGTTCTACTGATTTTATTTTTGAATTATCTATAGAAGGTCAGAATGTGATTCAAAATAATAAAAAAGAAGCTAAAGTCACAATCGGTGATCCTTCTCTCACATCATATGGGTGGGTGGAACTCATGTCGAGGAAGAGAATGGCTAGCTTCGTTAAATTTTGTGATGTGCAACAAAAGATTTAGCCTTCCATG